CTGACCTACAACAGACTCCGGCAGCCCTGTTTCCCCTTCCTCATATATGTTAAGGCCTGGTAGACTTTTGCCTTGTTTGTAACCAAGCCTTTCCACATTCACAGCTGCAGCAAACTGATGCTCAAGGTTTGCTTGAGGCAGCACTTTGGCCTAACATAGGTGAAAACCTAACTCACCCGCCCTCTGAACTCAATTTCAGCTCCTCAAATTTTAACTGATGCCTCTAGAAATCAGGTTCTTTAGAATTGTTATCTGAAGATAACCAGTGCTTCATCATACTCATCAATCATCCAAATTAGATTCATAACAATAGGTCCGGCACAAAGGCCAAAAATCTATAATCTCAGCATTTTGGGAGGCCAGGGCAGGAGGATCACTTGAGTCTAGGAGGTTGAGCCTGGGTGACAGAGTAAGACCTTGACTTTAAATAATTTTTTAAAAAAGATTCATAAGCATGATTCAAATGCCCCAAGTCTTTGTTGGAGTTTGTTTCCACACTTAAACTTGACTAAAAATTACTACTTGTGCCTGAATCCAGTTTGGCTAGATGTCCCAAAGAGCACCCAAAAGCATCCTTTTCATAAGACTTGATGTGAACTCTCCTAAGTCTTCCATATAGAGATTATTTTTCCTTCCTATTTTTGCATACCTGGAAGCCATACATATAGATTCTGGCAATTATCCAAATTACCAACTATCTTATGAGTCATACATTTCACTACAGTAACATGGGCATTTGCATTTTTGAGACTGCACATTAATTCTTTTAAAATTTTATTTTTAGGTGTACTTATGAGGTACAATGTGATGTTTTAAGCTAACTAATATATTCATCACCTCATAATACATTTCCATTTTTTGTAGTGTGAACATTTAAAATCTATTTTTATTCTTTACAGAGATGGGGTCTATGTTCCCAGGCTGGTTTCAAACTCCTGGCCTCAAATGATTCTCCCAAAGTACTGGGATTGCAGGCATGAGTCACTTAAATCTATTCTAAAGTCTATTCTTTTAGCAATTTTGAAATACATTCTTAACTGTGATCACTATGCTGTGCGATAGATCTCAAAAACTTATTCCTCTTGTCTAAATGAAACTTTTTTTAGTCAGGTCTCCCTCTGTCACCCAGGCTGGAGTACAGTGGCACAATCATGGCTCACTGCAGATTCAGTCTCCTGGACTTAGCAATTCTTCCACCTTAGAGTAGCTATGACGATAGGTACGCACCACCAAGACCGATTTTTTGATTTTTTTTGTACATACGAGGTACCATCATGTTGGCTAAGCTGGTTTGGGGCTCCCGGGCTCAAGTGATCCTCCCACCTCAGCCTCCCAAAGTGCCGGGATTTCAGGCATGAGCCACTGTGCCAGGCCCCCATCACTGTTTATCTAGCCGCCTGGCCACCATAAAGAGTGCTCACATGATGCAGCTCTAGAAGCTGGATGATATACCTTAGAGCCCAGATGGGCCCCAAAAAGGTAACCTAGCAGCTCAGTGAGACTCCCCCACCTTCTATTCTCAAAATGTAGTCCCTGCTAACACATAGTCATCATAAGATTTGATATTGTGGTTTCTCTGTTTTTCACACCAAATACTATTTCAAGGATGAAGTCTTTTTACTCCTGGCGGGGCACAGTGGCTCACGCCTATAATCCCAGGACTTTGAGAGGCCAAGGTGAGAGGACTGCCTGAGACCACGGATTCGAGACCAGCCTGGGCAACTTGGCGGAGACCTCATCTCTACAATGAATCAAAAAATTAGCCAGGTGTGGTGGCGCGTGCCTGTAGATCCAGATACTTAGAAGGCTGAGGCAGAAGAACCACCTGAGCCCAGCAGGCCGAGACTGTGGTGGCTATGAGCTTGCCACTGCACTCCAGCCTGGGCAACAGAGTGAGATACCGACTCAAAAAAAGTAAATAAAGTCTTTTTACCCCCATGTAATTTCCACTTTAATCCTACTTTGTATTACTAGCAAAGTAATCAGTGGAAATCAATGCAATAAGTGGCAATAAAACACCAAACAAGAAGTTCTTGTCTTTTGTTTTTCTCAAGTATAGTGGCATACACCTCTAACCTCAGCTGCTTGGGAGGCTGGAGAAAGGGGGGAGGATTGCTTGAGCACAGGAGTTTAAAACCAGTCCGGGCAACAGAGCCAGCCCACATCTCCTATTTAAAACAAAAAACAAGCCGGGCTCGGTGGCTCAGCCGTAATTCCACGCCTTGGGAGGCTGAGGTGAGTGGATTGCCTGAGCCTGCGGGTTCGAGACCCGCCTGGGCAACTTGGCGAGACCTCATCTCTACAGTAAATCAAAAATTAGCTGGGCGTGGTAGCACGCACCTGTAGTTCCAGCTACTTGGAAGGCTGAGGCGGAAGGATCGCCGGAGCCCAGTAGGTTGAGGCTGCGGTGGCCGGGAGCGGCCACTGCACTCCAGTCTGGGAACAGAGTGAGACTCCAACTCAAAAATAAAATAAATAAAAGATTCCTTTATAAAGAAATAATTGCATGTACTAGAAAATAGTTACCTATATTTACTTACCCCAACTATCTTAAAAATTGCTTTAAGATCCTTAAAAGCCAGCCATTAAAGGTTTTTAAAATTTCTTTGTTCTTGATGAAAATGTACATCAGAATTTCAAGAGAATATACTTTTATTCAATGAGAAGTTTTTAATGTAAATATTTCCATGAAATAAATCCCAAGTATGACATTTAAGTTTCTCCAGTACAATTTATTCTTATTACATTTTAGCTTGCTTCTGGCTTGCTTTTATTAGTTGTCTTAGAAATATTACGCTCAAGTAACAGAGATTCAGAGAGACCATTAACTAAGAAGGAACAGTTTCACTGTCTCAGTGTGTCAACTTCCTAGTTAGCCTGCTTGACTCCCCACCACAGATGCTTGTTCTCTTGTGGTTATTACCATATAACTATCTTCAAGACTTGGCTGAAGCTTGAATTTACACTTGGCTTCAAGCCAAGTCTGTGAATCCATGAATATGGGCCACCAGCTATATACAGGACACAGCCTTTTGAAGGTTTCTTTGATAATCAATGATAATAAATATGGAAAGATTAGGTATTTCCTTAGGAGAAGAAAATACATCCTACCTAAAGTTGCAGCTACAGTATTCTAACAAAAAAAAATTAGCAAAGAAATAATCAATAATAAGGATAGGAAAAATACTCTGAGAATAGAGTTAAATACAATTTACACACACTGGAGTAAATAGTGAGGCTTCTCCTTTTATTTTAAAATAAAAGTCTAAGCTCTTACTTTTATTTTAAAATTCTGATAAAAATGTACTCAATTACATTTTATACAGTAACATTTAGTGAATTTGTTCAAAAAGGCTATGTTTTAAATTCGTTTGCAAAAATAACAAAAGCTTTATCACTCAGTCTCTGGTCAATAAGGAAGAAAACATTGCTAGATATAATAAATAATTTCACACAAAAGGCCAAGGAACATAAGAATACTATAATAATATATTTTCTTTGTATTTACAATAAACTAATTTGTTAATAGTGTGATAGAAAAAATGAGTCAATCCACATTACGTAGTAGAAATAGGTTTTGAGAATGATTATACCTCTCACAATAAAAACATACAAGGATTTCTCACAGCTAAAGTACTTTTGAACATAATGACAGTCTTGGGTGAAGGTAAAACTGACAGAGAGAGTACTTTAGATCAGCTATGTCCTAGAATCAAAGAATCAAGGGCATTACCATTAACTAAGCAGCAAAAAGCAATTTAGTTTCTCCGGAATTATTTAAATATAGTAGTTACTATGTGAATAGTTAATTTTACTGTGAGTTAGAAAAAGTAAAAACACTAAATTTGGAAACTGCATTAATCAAAAGCAGCCCCAAACTAAAAAGCCATCAACAGAAATGAAACAAGGCATTCTTATAGGTATATCATGCATAAAAAGATAACTATATAACACATTCCTTAATGACCAGATTAATAAATAAATGAGGTAAATTTTACAGTCATTAGAACAAATAAACTATATTTAACTACTTATGTGTTTTCCTGTCACTGTTTTTGTTTCAAGATATAAATATAACTAAACCTACTGTCTAAAAACTGCATATGAGTGTTTTTAGATCCCCTTGAGACATTAAAGAGAAACTGTAACAAAATATCTGAATATAAATTATCAACACCAAATATACAGTTATCATGTAATCCCCATTTCATATATGCACAGTGGAAATACTGGCTACAAAAAAGGATGAAAACTGGTCAGAATTTTAAATTTCAGACGAATCCATGATAAAAATCTAGAACAGAAAAAGCAAAAGTAAAATTCACAAAATAGGTAGCTTGATATCCTCTTCATATTCAGTGGTCTATTAACATGCAACTTCTAAGCCAGGCTTGGTGGCTCAGCCTGTAATCCCATGCCTTTGGGAGGCTGAGGTGAGTGGATTACCTGAGCCCGCGGGTTTGAGACCCGCCTGGGCAACTTGGTGAGACCTCATCTCTACAATAAATCAAAAATTAGCCAGGTGTGGTAGCGCGTGCCTGTAGTTCCAGCTACTTGGAAGGCTGAGGCGGAAGGACCGCCGGAGCCCACAGGTCGAGGTTGCAGTAGCCGGAAGCCGCCACTGCATTCCAGTCTGGGCGACTGAGTGAGACTCCAACCCAAAAAAATAAAAAATAAATAAACATGCAACCTCTAAACAAAGCTATTACCTCAAAGGTTAAACAAGAGGAAGAAAATGTAATCTCTTTTAAGCTTTAGTTTTCCAGTTTATGCTCTGAAAGAAAAGGGCTAAACATTAGCAAAACTGCAACACTACTTTAAAAAATCTAGAATTTTAAAATATCTATTTTAATAATTAGTGAGAGACAGAAAATATTAAGTTAAATTGAATGAATGAATTGGATCAAGAATTTCCTACCATACTCCCATTAATTATAGCTACCCATGGTATGATAATTTATCAAATGTCTATAAGATATCTAACAACTATTGACAGCATATTTTATAGTATACCAATTTCCATTTTTATTTTCTTCTCCCTTGTGTCACTTAAATGCATTATCTGACAGGAATTTTTATTTTACAAATTGCTTGTTTCAACTACTGAAGAGGTGATTTTAAAACATAAATGGATACACCTGCTAATCCTGAGATGATGATGATGACAGCAAAACTAAAAATCAGATGACTTTTTTACTCAAATTTCTGCTTTAGTTTTTTTTGGAAGATGGCTGGCAGAATAGAAAGAACAGCCAAAATCATTAGGATAAATACTGAGTTCCAGGAAACAGCTTCCCCTGCTGTTGTAAGCTGGTATAGTGTTGTTCCTGCCTTAATGGCTACAAAAGAGGGAGGTGCAACACCTAGAATAAAAGATAAAAGAATACAGTAAAAACCATCATTTTTAAAATTAAAATTTTCTGTGTGCATAAAATTTCTTACACGAATAGTTTTCATTTTTGAAAAAAATTAAGAATTTAAAGCTCAAGTTTGTTTCCATATAAAAAATTTAATCTTTCATAATCACCTTTTAAAGATAATACATTAAAAAACCCAATTAAAGTGTCCAGAGAATAATTTTACATTTATCGAAAAAAAAAAAAAGGAATGTGCTCTTGTGCTGTGTTCCAGCAATTTCCACTTTAGGAAGTAATAATGTTATAGGCAAAGATCTAGTTTCAAGAATGTTTATCAAAGCATTGTAATACAAATATGGAAAAAACCTAAATGTTCAAAAAATAAAGTGGAGTAGATTGTCATTCATCCTTAATAGAATATACTTTTTTGTTGTCTGTTTTTGTTTTTTTGAGGTAGAGTCTTAGTCTGTCGCCAGGCTGGAGTGCAATGGCACACCCACGGCCGCCCTGGGCTCCTGCAATCCTTCCACCTCAGGCCTTCCAAGTAGCCAGAAGTACAGGCAGGTGCTACCAGGCCTGGCTAATTTTTTTTTTTTTTTTTAGTTGGAGTCTCACTCAGTTGCCCAGGCTAGAGTGCCGTGGCACACTCATGGCCACCCCAGCAATGACATGCTGGGCTCTGGTGATCCTTCTACCTCAGTCTCCCAAGTAGCCGGAACTACAGGCGTGTGCTACCATGCCCGGCTAGTTTTTTATTTATTGTAGAGACAAGCTCTTGTCAAGTTGCCCAGGCTGGTCTCGAACCCGCAGGCTCAGGCAATCCACTCGCCTCAGCCTCCCAAAGGGCTGGGATTACAGGCTGAGCCACCAAGTCTGGCCTACATTTTTTTTGGAGTTAGAGTTCCACTTTGTTACCCAGACTGGAGAGTAATGGCATGCTCACAGCTACCGCAGCCTCAACCTGCTGGGCTCAGGTGATCCTTCCACCTCAGCCTTCCAAGTAGTTGAAACTACAGATGTGCACTACCATGCCTGGCTTAATTTTTGACTTATTGTAGAGACGAGTTCTCACCAAGTCGCCCAGGCTGGTCTTGAACCCCTGAGCTCAGGCAATCCTCTCGTCTCGGCCTCCCAAAATGCTGGGATTACAGGCTTGAGCCACTATGTCCGGTCAATAAAATATGCTTAAAGAAGACTTTTACATAAGAGTATACACAGAATTATTACATTTCATTAAAAATAGAAAAAACTACTTTAGCCAAAGCTGAAATTAACTAAATCTCTAGCTATTTCACCTGTAAAATTGATAGGCACAAATATTCTTCTGATTTCACGAATATAGCATTTTATATAATTCAAAATTGTCCATGCTGATGAAATTTTGTCAATAAATTTTTTTAAAGTAGTCATAAACATTTGATTTTTTTATTATTCTTTTCAAAAAGATCTATTCTAACTAGTATTAACTTAAATTTTTTGTTGTTGTTTTGTTTTTTGAGTCAGAGCCTCACTGTTGCCCAGGCTGGAGTACAGTCAGAAGATCACAGGTATGGCAGCCTTGACCTCCTGGGTTCAGGCGATCCCTTCTGCCTCAGCCTGAACCACCATGCCAGGCCTTAAGTGTAACTAAAACCCACAATAAATGCAGGTTTCAATGAAAAATAGGATAAATTCTCTACCGAAAATTAAAGTTTAATATTTTGATACTTGATTAGAAGATAAAAGAAAATTACTCAAAAAAAAGGTAACTTGATTTTTTTTCTCTTCACCACGAAAAACTGGACTTAAAAAGTCATGCCAAGCCGGGCTCGGTGGCTCAGCCTGTAATCCCACGCCTTTGGGAGGCTGAGGTGAGTGGATTGCCTGAACCCGAGGGTTCGAGACCCGCCTGG